TGCACAGCAATGCTATCCATTAGAATGGACAGACAGGATGGGCTAGTGGAAGAGGTAAAAGGCATGTCCAATATGGGGACTATAAGGAGGAAGAAGCAGCCTAATTTGGTCCTCCAGTGGATGTCACAGACAGAACTGGCTGCTCAATAAGCATTAAAAAGTTTGCATTTACCTTATTTTACTCAAATTAGTTCACCGGCTCACACTTTTCTTAACTACTTCTAAAAGGAGGTGTCCAAAAAGTCATCTCTGATATCTATTCAAAGTAGCTTAAAGAAATTCTCATTATACAAGAGTGAGCCATGACAAGTCCAAGTCCCCAGTGGTGACACATCAACATTCATGTGCCATCTAAAAGCACTTCAGTCACAGCAAATGCCATTGCTACCATAAGAAAGGCAGAAAGAACACGCTGTTCTTTTCTTTAAGCATTTATGCTGAAACATCTCCTTCGTTGTGTCCTAAAATTGCATGAACACAAAAATCTGATTAGTTGTAAGTCTAAAATTCAGACATCCATATGCCAAAATGTGCCTAACGATGTGAAAGTTGCTTTGCTTTTATTATAAGGGCCATTGGAGAGCATCAGGGAGAAACCACTAAGTACAGTCTACTTCAAAAGTCCTTAGACCTTAAAAGACCTTAAAAACAACTTTCTTGCTGCTATACTTGGCAAGTTCAGCTAAACTACCCCCAGTTTATTTAGAAGCACATGTTAACATAGTTCTTTTTATGTTTCAGATGTGTAGTCAGAATATTTTTATTCTTTATTTCAACGAATCAAGTAGGTGAAGCCATGGTATTTATAAACAGCTTAAGGGCTAGAATCTTGGTTATGGATCAGACTCCTAATATATCCTTTTGGGAGAGTGCCCACCTTACATGTAGATCTGTATCTCCACTAAATACATGATTCATTAGTATCAATTCTCCACTCACTGGTCATGGATTATCATTATCACTGGTAGAAGCAAAGATAGGAGACATACAAACTTAAAACACCTCAACACCAGCTATATGCAAGGGTGTATCAGGGCAACTCCATACCCAGCAGCTTGTGACACAGGGCAGTTCCAGCTCCCATGGTAGCAATGGCAGCAGCACAGATGCAGTGGTAGCTAATTCAAAGGAACAGCCTGGGGATTAATATTTTGTTTTACTGGTTTCTGTTAGACTTTAAGTATGCCTACATATGCTACTGTATAGTGTTATTACTGAAACTCCTAATTTTAAGGGAAGGCAGAAAATATTTGTCCAGTTTCCTTCTACTGTCCCATCCTGAACATCATTTTACAGAACTGCCATGCCCCTTTGGAAAAGAGCAAAAATACTGCACAAAATAGCCTTTAAGAAGGTTCTCTTTTTTTTGTAAAGGAAGAAGGGTGGAAGAAGAAAGTTTGTTTTGACTCACCATACATAACTGCTGTTTCCACCAGTACTGGGATCTAGTTTAAACTCTGTCACCCAGACAACCACTAAAACCTGCACAACACTCCTGAATCACCAACACAGCAGCCTCTATGGTGGGCATTCTTCCGATCAGAGTCAAGAAGAATTTCCCCCCAGAGAGATGTGGAACATAAAATGAAACTTGGTAAAATTCACATCTTCTTAAAACAGTTTGGACATTAAGTGGAAATGTAAGCAAAAGAAGAATTTCAGAGACCATGCCATGCTTCCCCCATGGATTATATGGTTCTTAATGTAAAACTGCTTAATACAGTTCTTTAATGCCATTTCCTTAAACATACCCCTGCAAGACATTGCACCAGATATCTTACCAAGATTTACTTTGGCAGGAACTTCAAACAAAATTGCTGAAGTCACTCTTTGGCATACAACAATTCTTTTGTACTCTGAATTGTTTTGAATAAAGACCCACTGAAACCTATATACAAAAGGAATTTGTAGCTGCAGAAATTTCATTACTTTATTTCTAATTATATGTGTGTGTATATCTCTCTACAGATATATAGAGATACACACACACATACCTTTTCACTATATCAAACAGACCATGAGCAATGCCTATAAGTAAGTGCATCCTTGATGGCTGATTGGTATACTGGGTTTATTGTATACTGTTATTTGTATTTACAAAGCAAATGTTAGCTTCTTTACATAAATGCTAAGCTTGACACACACGGTCTGAGATACTATTGCATTAGAAACCATTTTACTACTCTGCGTAACATTAAGAGGAAAGGTATTCCTGCCAGTGCCCCCCAGACCTGCCACAATGACAGGTACTTACATTACAACCATAATGTTGTACAAGCCTTGTGTTGCATTTGAAGAGTATGCTTTTCTGAACCAAATCAGAAAAATACCAACCTGTTAATATATCATGGTTGACACAGATGTATACCCGCAAAAAAAAACCTCTTACGAGCACCAAGAATTAGCACTGCATTTCACTGTCCCCCTCTCAAGAATCCTACAACAATGACCAATTTTACCTATGCTAGAAACCACTTGCCCATGTCGAAATCAATGCACGTGGTATACAACATGATCCCAACATACATGATGCGTCCATACACTATAACACAATTGCAGATGTTGGTAACATCCCGTGGTAGTGGCACTCACTTACATAGGACTGCACTTCTTAGATGAGATACTTCAGAGAGAAGATGCAACAAGGCAAGAAACAGCAGTACACTTTGCTTGAGTACATCCACCCTTTTTCTTCCCTTTTGAGCTCACTTCCAGTGTAACGCTGTTCCATTATCTTACGCTTAAGGAAGCTCAGATGCAGGGAACAGTGACAACACAGGCTATATCCTACTTCCACTGAAGTCAAAGGCAAAATGCCCATTAATTTTAAAAAGAGTAGATTGGGCCCTATGTCATGATGAAGATCTACATGAAACTGCTTTTTACTGGTAACAGAAAAGCCATTCCTTTCCCCCCAGCAAAGAAATTACACCATCTCATATAGTAATAACAGTGCTTGTAATTTTTAGATTGTAGGTTCTCTGCAGAAAAAAAGATATTTTTTTACTTATAAATTCACATGGAGTAGGGATCCTAACATGACTGCTACTAGGATACTTAATGCTTAAGAGTTCCAGATGTAGACCAGGACCCCACTGAGTCCAGCAGTGTACAAGCACATAAACAAAAGATTGTCCTTGTTCCACAGCTCTATGCATAAAGTTTTCATTTTCCATTACGTAGGTCTAGGAGATGGGGGCCATTCACACTTGTCTTTCCTCATTCAGTGGCTATTGTCTTTTTTGAAGTCATCTTTCTTCTGTTCCAAAGAAGTTTGCTTTCAGTGTCCATTACTCCCACAAACGTGTTCGCATCTTCTTCCACTCTGATCCCAATCTTCTTCCGCGAGCTGAACCATAAGATGACTTCTTCAAATCTTTCCTTCTACCTACCACTTCTGAAACAACTACAAGAGACTGGCCAACTAATAATGGATAGGCTGAAGGGCTGCCAGGTACAGTTAATGTGTATTAAAAATGCTACGGGTTTTATTTCTTGCCTTCTGAGGCACCAGTCCTGCATTGAGATACGCATGTACCTACTTGGAGCTCCAGTGAAATCAACCAGGCTCAGAGCTCTGCATCTACAAAACAACTTTTATACGATTGGGTTTTGACTGAAAACCCTCTGGACCACACACTAAATCTGCTTGCATGTGCTTAGCACTTAACACATTTAAGAATGCTACTAGAACACAAGATCACTAATAAAACGAACAACAACAAAAGTATAGAAGTTTGTTGAAAATAGTTTTAATGTGTTACAATGCCACTTCAAATATGTATTTGGAAAATACACAGCACTAAAATGCTACACACATCTCAATGGTAAATATTCATTAACCTTTGTTAATCTGACTGTAGAACAAATTATATTACCCTTAAACAACTAAGCCACTCTCTGCAGCATAGATTAATAGAAGGTGCTTGCTTTTGGCAACACCACTTTTTTGAAAAACAGTATGAACCAAATGATATGTCACATGAAAGCAACATTTTAACACTTGGACAATGCTTCATAGTTCGGTACTGTACTAGACAACATGGTGGGCAGACACTGTGTAATAATCTCACACCCAGCGTAGGCTGACACACAGGGTAAAACCACTCAGCATTATTGCACAACAAAAACACATCCTGTTGTATCTTGTTGCAACTATAACAAGCTATTAAGTGAACAACACAGCTTTTCAAAATAAATTATTGGATATAAAGACAAAGCTGTAATTTAGATTTCATGTCACATAAAAGCTTATCTTTCACATCTCTGACGTCATACCTGTAAATTACAGCTTTAACAATGCTGATGCAAAACTCCTCCTCCTTTCCCACCCCAAAATAAACATGCCTAATTTCTGACACTGTTCATCCATGTATGTGCCTTCTGGAAGTAAATCGACATATTAAATACCTCCTAAGACTCTATTTTACATGCTGTTCAAGCAAGGACAGACCAATTATTGTATATCATTCTGAAGTCTTAATTAAAGAAAACAGCAAAACCAAAACCCAAAGCAATATATGACTGAAGACTCTATAACATAAGAAGCTACAATAACAAGGGTAGAATACTCTGCAATAAGGCTGTTTTGGTATCTCACAAAGCCAATCATATTGCCTAATTTAACAAGATAACAAAACAAAGGTAAGAAATCATCGCCAACATCACTCTACCTTGTGCACAGCACTAAAGGCCAAACTTCAACTACCTGTGCATGTGGCAGATCTTAATAGAGCCAAAGTTTGGACATGTCTTACAGCCATTATAAAATACCTAGGCATACAAAACAAAATATGCACAAATTTTTATCCAAGCAGAGCACAAGAATAGTTTAATCAGCCTTTCAATATTCTAAGCAACTGGGAATAGATATCTGGAGGGAAACCACATGGCTTGAGTAATCAGATACAACACCTTTCACTTTTAGTTGACTGGCTTGTATGCAAGTCAGCAGAAATCAGCCGTCAAGACCACAGTTCTGGATGAACCCAGTTGTTTACCTCAGTCTTGAATCCAATGCCCAGGTGTACACATCACTCGTGATTGACATCCATGCAGACAGCCTTGGCCAAGAAGTTCAGGTTCAGATAGGTATGTGAGCAAACTACCCTTTTACCCCTGCAGGTCATCCCTTTGGGTAGCATTGGGGCTCATTTATAAAGAAGCTTGGCCAGCACCAACTCTGCTCCAAGCAAACTGGCAACTATCCACTCCTACCAGCCTGCAGTGTACCCATGCAGACAGTTACTGATTATTCGGCTGGCCCAAGGGAACCGCCTACCTAGCAGAACAAGCACTAAGGAGGGAAAAAGGTCTGCTACCTCTTGTCCATGCCACACCTATTCTACAAACAAACAAGAGATGCATCCAGCATCTTTAGCGGCCACAAAATTCTCCACTACTCCATGTATTAGGAGTCTGACATCACACCAGGGTGAGCACAGTCTGACATCTACAGTTAACTCAGTGATGGTGTCAGTGCTGGCTAGCTAACAGCTGCTGAATGCTGCAGTGCATTTTCTTTTAAGCCTTAAAAAAAGGGGAGAGGGTTCCCCCTCCCTTAAATTCTGTTTGGGAGCTCCCCAGCCATTGGCTCCCTGCGAGAGTCAGAGCTCTCCAGCCCTGGATTCCTCTTGCGCAACTCTTGGGATTTCGGGAAACGCGCAGGATATTAATATCTTACTCCAGTCTAGATTCACGCGCTGCTGCCAGGACCTTTATAAGGACAGGCTACAATTCAAACAGAACTCTGATTTATTTTAATTTATTTTTTTTTTAAACTGATCATTTAAAAAAAAAAAAAAAAGACTCAAAAGAGCAATTATTTTATTTTATCGGTGGTTATTTTGAAGCCCGCAATGCAAAGCTCTCCCTGGAGCCTGGGCAGAAGGGCTGCACTTTGGAAACTGCAGAGGAGGAAAGCAAGGTCTGCTCCCCCTGCCATCGGCCTGCCAGCGAGGGCAGGGGCAACCCTGGGGAGGGGAGGGGGAGCAGATGCCCCGAAATCAGCAGTCACAAAGCCCAGCCTCCCCCGGGGAGCTGAGGGGAGCCCGCCCCTCCTCCCCCGAGCCCAACTTGGCTGGCGGGGAGCTGGAGAAGTGCAAGGGGCCGAGCCGAGCCCAGGCCTCCCCGCAGCATCCCTGCCCCTCCGCCTGCATCCCGGCTCCCCGCAGGCCTCCCCGCGCAGGGCAGCGGGGATGCGGGGCTGCACTCCCCCCCGCCGCGCTGCTGCTGCTGCTCCTCCTCCTCCCGCCCGGGTCCCCCCCGTCCCAGGGCTGCGGGCGGGCCGGAGCTCGGGCTGCGCGGGGCGGGAGGGGAGGC